TGGGCGGCTCGGCTGCTGCTGGGCGGCTCGGCTGCTGCTGGGCGGCTCGGCTGCTGCTGGGCGGCTTGGCTGCTGCTGGGCGGCTCGGCTGCTGCTGGGCGGTCCGGCTGCTGCTGGGCGGCTCGGCTGCAGTGTAGTGGCGGGGCCGGGACAAGGGACGGCGGGGCCGTCAGGGTGCAGCGGCGGGGCCGGGACAGGGGACGGCGGGGCCGTCAGGGTGCAGCGGCGGAGCCGGGACAGGTGCAGCGGCGGGCCGTCAGGGCGTAGCGGCGGGCCGTCAGGGAGCAGCGGTGGGGCCGGGATAGGGGACGGCGGGGCCGGGACAGGAGACGGCGGAGCCGGCAGAGGTGCAGCGGCGGGCCGCTGGGAGCACCCGCGACTGAGCCGGCGGCGGGGCCGCGTAGTAGCGGGCGGCGGGGCCGCGTAGTAGCGGGCGGCGGGGCCGCGGCTGAGCAGGCGGCGGAGGCCGCGCCGTAGAGGGCGGCGGGGCCGCGGCTGAGCAGGCGGCGGAGGCCGCGTCGTAGCGGGCGGCGGGGCCGCGGTTGAGCAGGCGGCGTGGCCGCGTCTGAGCAGGCGGCGGGGCCGCTTCGTAGCGGGCGGCGGGGCCGTGTCGGAGCAGGCGGCGGGGCCGCGTCCGAGCAGGCGGCGGGGCCGCGTCGTAGTGGGGCCGCGAGGAGGTGGTGGGGCCGCGACTAGACGGCGGGGCCGCGAAGGAGAGGCGGGGCCGCTCGAAGGGTGGGCGGGACCGCTAGGAAGGGCGGCGGGGCTGCGTGAAGGGCAGCGGGGCCGCGTGGGGAAGGGCGACTCGGGGGGTCGCAAAAAAAAACGATCGCGCGCCTCGGGGCGCGCTTCGGTGGGCCCTAGGCGAAGTTCCCACAGGGAACCCGCTCTATACCATGTGAAAGTAAGGAACAGGAATGATCAACTATGAAATGAAAACAGTACAAGTACCAACCCTAATTGGGTTGTACCCCTTATGTGCTACCCCACTACAGCCTACAACATGTATAAGCTATAGTAATCTGACACGCATGTGCGTAGATTATCGTGCCTTGAACAAGATTACGGTGAAGAACAGATACCCTCTACCACGAATTGAGGATCTGTTCGATCGGCTCCAAGGAGCTCAGTGGTTCAGTGCCCTGGACTTAGCTCAGGGGTATCACCAGCTACGAATCACCGAAGAAGATGTTCCAAAAACGGCTTTCAGAACGCCGTTCGGGCATTTTCAGTGGCGTGTGCTAAGTTTTGGCTTGACAAATGCTCCCGCGTCATTTCAGCGAGCAATGAATTATGTGTTTCGGGAGGCAATCGGCCAATTCGTCCTGGTATACTTGGATGACATCCTCGTGTACTCGAAGACCGAAGAAGAACACACGCAACACCTGAAATGGGTGTTAGGAAAATTGCGAGAGCATAAATTCTTTGCTCGGTTGTGGAAGTGTCACTTCTACAAACGCGAGTTGGAATACCTTGGTCACTTGGTAGGCAACGATGGCCTCAAAGTTGATCCAAAGAAAGTGGCGGCAGTCCAACAGTGGCCCGTTCCACAGGACGTGGGACAGGTCAGATCATTTCTTGGACTTGCGAACTATTTTTGCCGTTTCTTGGAAAATTATTCCTCCGTAGTCGCTCCACTGACTGCCCTCACTCGTAAGGGTAATGCTTGGCAGTGGACTGATCAATTCCAGAAGGCATTTGAGTAGGTGAAAACCATGCTGACCAATGCTCCAGTGCTGGCTTTGCCAGACCCGTCCAAGCCCTACGAGGTGGTAACTGATGCCTCGACAGTAGGGATTGGAGCAGTTCTTTTGCAAGAAGGACGCCCCGTGGCATTTGAGAGTAGAATGCTTTCACCGGCTGAGCAGCGCTATACAACTTCCGAACAGGAATTGTTGGCAGTTGTGCATGCGCTACGAACATGGAGATGATATCTCGAAGGTGTTGACTTTGTGGTCACGACCGACCACTGTCCGAACACCTATTTTGCCACTCAAGCCACACTCACCCGCCGTCAAGCTCGATGGGCTGAACTCCTCAGTGGGTTCACCTATGATATTCGATATCGAGCGGGCTCGACAAACATGGCTGATCCTCTGAGAAGACAGCCGATTGGTGCAGCAACGGGTGTTGATGATAATGAGCATGAAGCAGTGTTTGCTGCTTGTTTCAACATCCTCGCAGCTGCTCGAGTGAGTGAGATTGCCTTTGGTGGTTTTCTGAAACGCATTCGCGCAGGGTATGATATTGACCCTTGGTTTCGGAACCCACAGAATACAAAGGATCTCTTGTGGGAGCATGAGCTCTGGTGGCACAAGAAGGAAATTGTTGTCCCACATGTGGGAAACCTGCGGAATGATATTCTAGCAGAGGTGCACGCCACTAAGTATGGAGGACACCTGGGAGTCAAGAAAACCCGGTGGGCCCTCAGCGATGTATACTGGTGGCCGGGATTGGGCATTGAAGTCCAGCAATTTGTAACTCGCTGTGACACTTGTGCACGGACCAAGCCGAGGACACAGAAGCCTGGTGGTTTGCTTCAACCATTTGAGATTCCCGATGAACCTTGGGAGAGTGTATCGATGGATTTTATCACCGATCTCCCCAAGACGCGAGATGGTCATACAGCGATACTAGTGTTTGTAGATTGCTTGACCAAAATGGTGCACTTCGTGCCCACGACGACTGACGTGTCTGCAGAGGATACGGCGAAGTTGTTTGTGACGCACGTTTTCCGCTTACACGGTTTGCCTCGTGTGATGGTGTCTGACCGAGACCCGCGCTTCACAAGCCGGTTCTGGCAAGAGGTCATTAAGACACTAGGAACGAAACTCAAGATGTCGTCTGCTTACCACCCCCAAACGGATGGACAGACGGAGCGGACCAACCGCACACTTGAGCAAATGCTTCGTTCTTTCATAAGCCCAACTCAGGACGATTGGGATGAATTGTTGCCAGTCGCAGAATTCGCTGTGAACAATTCTGTGCATGAAAGCACACATGAGAAACCCTTTGTCCTGAACTGTGGTCGGCACCCCACAACCCCTGCGACACATGGGATTAAGAACCTCAAAATCCCAGCCGCAAAGGACTTTATTGGAAATCAGCAAGCGGCATTGAAGTCCGCTCGCCATTGGCTGCAGCTTGCCCAACAGAGGCAAAAGTCCTATGCCGACATGAAACGCCGGGAAGTCGTCTTTGCAGTTGGCGACAAAGTATTACTGAGTACGAATAACATTCGTCTCAAGATTCCGGGAGCACGAAAGCTTTTCCCTCGTTGGATTGGGCCCTTCGAGGTGATTGCGCGTGTTGGTGAGGTCGCATATAGGCTCAAATTGCCTGCGACATTGCAGATTCACAACGTCTTCCACGTGTCTCTGTTGAATAAGTACGTTGCGGAAGGCAAGTACTTACCACCACCAACCATCGTTCTCGAGAAGGAACTCATTTATGAAGTCGAGCGTGTGCTAACGCACCGTGATCGACAACGCGGCCGCAAAACAGTTCGTGAGTTCCTAATTCAGTGGAAAGGCTATGGGCCGGAACACAACTCATGGGAGCCTGAGGAACACTTGACCGAAGCAGCGGTTCAAGCGTATATGGAAGACCTGGCTCTACGAGCAGGCCCACAACCAGTGGATGGGGTTGACCCTGGTCGTAATGTGGTGTGCCGTGCTCGAAGCACTCGCCCTCAGAAGCACCCTAAGGCAACGGGGACGTTGCCACCTAGGGGGGGAGGAGTGTAACGCATTGCCCTAACTACTGCCTAGCAACCTAACTTCTCCCTAGTCAAATGTCGAGAGTTATCTTGATAAAGAGAGAGTTGGAGAAGATGGTTGAGTTGGTTGGGATGAAACTTGGTTTGGGTTTGCCAAGCCTCAACATTGGAGGCTTGGAACATTTCCAACTCAACCAAGAGAATGTTGAAGGTTGGAATTCCAACCAATCAGAAACTGCCAAACAAGTGTTACAATCTACTCTATCATAAACACAACCATTGAATGGTTCTAAGTTGGGTTTTCCAACCCAACACAATTGCCACATAGGCTCCAAGCCTAGGAACCATCCCACCATGGAAACCATGGTTGGGATAGGTTCCCAAGGGGTGTATTGAGGGGGTCTGAGCTAAGGAAGCTCATTCTCAACCTCCCACTCCAACTAAACAATTGGAAATGGGATTGTTTTGCCTAAGTCATTGAGAGCTCTCTCACAAGCCTTCCTACACAATTCTCTCAAGCCTTTTCAACAACTCCTTCAAGAAGATTGGCACTTCCAAAGCTATTGGGAGCTAGTTAGAGCTTCAACTTGTATTGGGATTTATTATAAAAGCATTGTAACTCCATTATAATAGCCTTGGGTGTTACAATCCGTTTCCCTTCGTCGCGCGCATTTCTGCCAGTCGCGCACGCGCCTTCGCGTCACGCTCGCTTCCCCTCGATGCGCCCTCTCCTCCCGCGCGTTTCCCCTCGATACCCGCTATCCTCCCACGCGCGTAACGCGCGCTTCCCTTCGGCAGACGCCCTGCTCCCCTCGTCACGCGCTCAATCATTCAGTCGCGATCTTCCGTATATCATGTTGAAAGTGGTTAGCTAACCACGACCTACAGGGACCTACATCGACTTACGTTTTCCAGCACATTTCTTCACACAGTTGAGACCAGAGCTTCCTAAGATTGCGACTAAGACTCTGAACAGTCTTTATAGTCTAGACTAAAGGCTGCGCACGTACAAGAGATCAATAGCTGAACCCGACGTCACGCGCATGCGCCGTTTGCCCCAGTTGCTGCTGCCTGGCCCTCGCCTCCTGTCGTCGCCTCCGCCACCCCAATTGGATGGCGTTTGTCGTAAGTGCCAACCCCTACCCACGTCGCCATCGACACCATCGTGTGTAGCATCTCCCTCATACGCCCTTGCTCCGTCCAGCCGCAGGGTTTAGCCTACTGATGTGATGGGCAGAAAGGGAGGGACAGAGGGGGATGACCAGCTGAGGGGGGGATGGTGTCACATTGAAAGCTTGATTGATGGGCGGTGGACAGGAAGGGAACGGGCTGGGGAGATGGGAAGGTCACAAGGATAAGGACAAGGGGGAGAGGGGGAAGGACAAAGGTGGAGAGACAGAGGGGGGAGGAACAGGGGGGAAGGCAGAGGGGGAGAGACAGAGGGGGAAGGACAGAGGTGGATAGACAGAGGGCGAAGGGACGAGAGGGAGATACAGAATGGGAAGGATGGAGGGGGAGGGAGGGGGAAGGGCAGAAAGTGAGAGCCAGAGGTGAGAGCGGGCTTACCGCCCAATCTATTGTCCTTTGCCTCACCTGCTTCCCCCCTCCCTCCTCCCAGCTTCCCCCTCCCTCCTCCCAGCTTCCCCCCTCCCTCCTCCCAGCTTCCCCCCTCCCTCCTCCCAGCTTCCCCCCTCCCTCCTCCCAGCTTCCCCCCTCCCTCCTCCCAGCTTCCCCCTCCCTCCTCCCAGCTTCCCCCCTCCCTCCTCCCAGCTTCCCCCCTCCCTCCTCCCTGCTTCCCCCTCCCTCCTCCCAGCTTCTCCCCTCCCTCCTCCCTGCTTCCCCCCTCCCTTCCCCCTGCTTCCCCCCTCCATCCTCCCTGCTTCTCCCCTCCCTCCGCCCTGGGTCCCCCCCCCCCCTCCGCCCTGCTTCCCCCCTCCCTCCTCCCTGCTTCCCCCCCGGCTACTCCCTGCTTCACCCCTCCCTCCTCCCTGCTTCCCCCCTGCCTACTCCCTGCTTCACCCCTCCCTCCTCCCTGCTGAACCCCCTGCCTGCTCCCTGCTTCACCCCTCCCTCCTCCCTGCATCCCCCCTCCCTTCCCCCTGCTTCCCCCCTCCCTCCTCCCTGCTTCCCCCCTCCCTTCCCCCTGCTTCCCCCCTCCCTTCCCCCTGCTTCCCCCCTCCCTCCGCCCTGCTTCCCCCCTCCCTCCGCCCTGCTTCCCCCCTCCCTCCGCCCTGCTTCCCCCCTCCCTCCGCCCTGCTTCCCCCCTCCCTCCTCCCTGCTTCCCCCCTCCCTCCTCCCTGCTTCCCCCCTCCCTCCGCCCTGCTCCCCCCCTCCCTCCGCCCTGCTCCCCCCCTCCCTCCGCCCTGCTCCCCCCCTCCCTCCGCCTTGCTTCCCCTCTCCCTCCGCCCAACTTCCCCCCTCCCTCATAGAGGTGAGCGTCACGCACCAGGTGACCCTTAGCTTTCCCCATATGCCAGCCCTCTACCTTGATCTAACCATCTTCCTTGTCCCTCCCGATGTACCTCAACAATCCCTTCCCATGTGCCTCTCCTCCCCCTCCCCATGTGCCTCTCCTCCCCCTCCCCATGTGCCTCTCCTCCCCCTCCCCATGTGCCTCTCCTCCCCCTCCCCATGTGCCTCTCCTCCCCCTCCCCATGTGCCTCTCCTCCCCTCCCATGTGCCTCCTCCCCTCCCCATGTGCCTCTCCTCCCCCTCCCCATGTGCCTCTCCTCCCCCTCCCCATGTGCCTCTCGTCCCCCTTCCCATGTGCCTCTCCTCCCCCTCCCCATGTGCCTTTCCTCTTCATCAGGGCCTCAGATTCACTTCTAAGGTCGTCGACCCATCAGGGTACCCTTGTGTAGAAACCCTGATTGACAGTGTTACTAAAACAAAAAACCTGAAACATCAGGGTTGCCTTTGAAAAAAGGCTGATATATCAGTGTTCAAAAATATAAAAGGTTGTTAATTATTAGAAACCTCTTTTTCAAATACTAGGTCAGTAGCAACCTTCCGAAATATTGCTTTGCTAAGCTAACATGCCTCATGAATCATCACCAGCCGTGTTATCATCACTGCCTTTGGCTTCTCTACTCTCCTCAGCTTGGGACACCAGTACGTGACAGTGCTCTGCCGCAGCACACACCCCGTCTTCACTTCTGCTTGCAACTCATACACGTTGAAGCTGCAGGGGCAGGGTGTGGGGGAGGAACCGGATTGACAGGCAGGGTGAGGCAGGGAAAGAGAGAACAGGAGGGAGAGAGGAGGGAAGATTGGCACGGTTGGGGGGGAGACGACTGGGGGAGAGATGGAGTGCACGGAGTGCGGGGTAAAAGGAGCAGGGGAATGGACGGCCAGCGCGCGGGTCATGCGCGGATCATGTCGTCGCGCAGCACGACACTCTGCGCACCGCACGCGGTGCAGATGGCCTTTTCAACCGCGGTTCGTGCTGGCGACGAGGCAGCCTTCGGTTGCCGCCATTAGCACAAAAAACTACGCGTCGTCGAGTCGTAGCGGGCCTGCGACGCCGACGGGAATTGCCACGTGGTCTACGACCATCTAGCAGCATGCACTGCGGATCGCGTCGAACGAGAGCGATGTGTTCGGTGAGACAAGAGGAGGTTCGGCGGCGCTTGCGATGGGTTCGATTCCCGACAGCCCGCCCTTTCTGCTGCTTATGGCGCCATGAATTAGTGCAGACGAGAAAGCAAGAGAGGAATCGGGCTGAGAGGGAGAGGGAGAGAAACAGGAGGAAAAGAAACAAGAGATTGGGTTGGAGGGAATGGTTGCCACATTCTTGCTGGTGCAGGAACCCTCGCAGCCCTCCAGCACAACATGGTTGCCACATTCTGATTAGCTATCACTTTATGCTACAGCGTTACTGCCCAATGAAGTGCTGGCACCGCAGGAATATGAGATTCCCTGTTTTGCGGGCAAATGCACACGGAACAAGTAAGAATTGCTTTCAGTGTTAGTTTCGTTACACCGCCGTGGAATCAGTGTACTTGGGAAACGAAAGTCTGAAATTTCAGGGTGGCCTAACAAAAAAGGCTGAAAGATCAGTCCCACAAAAACCTAAACGCTGATTTTTCAGTGTAGGTAAAAAAAGGGCTGCCAAAATCAGGAATTTCAGGGTTTTTTACCTGATATCTGAGGCCCTGCTCTTCATCCCACGTGCAACAAGTGGGCAGCGCAACAGAGTTGGGAACAAGCTCATTTTCTATTCACCCCCTCTTCCTGCCTCCACCTGACTCCTTGCAGGGCTATTTGGCGTTCATTCACATCCAGAAGGAGGAGGGAGGGCGCAGGTGCAACTAGGGGGCAGCTCAGCAGACTTTGGAATGAGCTCACGTTCCCCATGCCCCGTGCTCTCTCGACTTCCCTTCTTATTCCAGACCTATCTGGATTGCATTCACATTAGCAAGGAGAAGGGTGGGCGCACGCGCATGTTTATGTTTACGGAATCATGAGGACCATAACTCCACACAGATGGCGACAGCACTGGTTGCTAAAGGGGTTGGCATTAGCATAGATTGTCACATGCTGGTTGAACAGAGGCATTTCATAAGGCTAACTCTATCCTCACTTCCAACTGCCTAAATTGTCTATGAATACTATAATATGTGCATGCGGTCATTCAATGTGTCGCTATGCAGATTGTTACCCACTCAAGCATGGCATGTCGAAGACCACAGGTGCATCATGGGGAAGTAAACACAACCCATTCACTCATCCTGACCTGCCACCCATAGCTCCACTTCCTCCCCATCGTAACAGCCTTCTATCCACCACTCATCACCACTGTCGCTCCTCTCCCCCGCATCTCTTATCATTGCGTTTGCCACTTCAACCTCCTGATCCGATGGGGTTTCATCCACATCCCTCTCACAGTGGTAACCTGCAATTAGCGCCAATGAGATGGATGGTAAGCCAGATTTTAGGACGGTGTGCCTGTCACGCTAAATAGTCTCGGGGACAACCATCTGGGCAGGGCAGGGGTGGGGCATGCTGGACCCGGGGGGGGGGGGGGGGGGGGGGGGGGGGGGGGGGGGGGGGAAGGGCGGGGCGGTGCATGAGAGGGCAGGGCAGAGCTGCAAGGACAGGGCAGAGCCGCAAGGACACGTGACACAACTGCTGGAGAGCGGGAGAGGTGGGGGGTCAAGAAATTTGCAATTGCACGCCAAGCAACACACAACGGCTGTGTGCATGGTGGTGACAGCAGGCCCAAGGCAGCAGCAACCGTTGTTGATGGTTGCTGCTGCCTTTGCCTCGTGACATGTGAGCGTGATAGGACCCCCAAGGCAGCAGCAACCGTTGTTGATGGTTGCTGCTGCCTTTGCCTCGTGACATGTGAGCGTGATAGGACCCCCAAGGCAGCAGCAACCGTTGTTGATGGTTGCTGCTGCCTTTGCCTCGTGACATGTGAGAGTGATAGGACCCCCAAGGCAGCAGCAACCGTTGTTGATGGTTGCTGCTGCCGTTGCCTCGTGACATGTGAGCGTGATAGGACCCCCAAGGCAGCAGCAACCGTTGTTGATGGTTGCTGCTGCCTTTGCCTCGTGACATGTGAGAGTGATAGGACCCCCAAGGCAGCAGCAACCGTTGTTGATGGTTGCTGCTGCCTTTGCCTCGTGACATGTGAGCGTGATAGGACCCCCAAGGCAGCAGCAACCGTTGTTGATGGTTGCTGCTGCCTTTGCCTCGTGACATGTGAGCGTGATAGGACCCCCAAGGCAGCAGCAACCGTTGTTGATGGTTGCTGCTGCCTTTGCCTCGTGACATGTGAGCGTGATAGGACCCCCAAGGCAGTAGCGACCATTGTCGCTGTACTATGGTCGATGTAGGCTAGAGCATACTAGTTTCGCTCCGTACAGAGTCCTCACATAGTAACCAGTACCAAAGCAATACATTCTACCCAGTTCACATTTGCTAGGTACGGTAAGGATGGTAGGCACGAGGTACCCCAAATATTGTGTAGGTGCATCGGAGGGACTACACATACACCCTGGACGGGAATACTAAGAACCTACTGCATGTTTCGCTACGCCAACACCCTCGAAAACATTTTTGGGATGCAGGGAATTGGGCACTCACCTGGGCTCTCCTCTCTCGTGACCCGCAGGGGCGTGTGCCGCCCTTTGCTCCCCGTCAGTGCGCAGTATCCGCTTTAGTTGTGCGCGCGGTGGCCCAAGCCCAGTCACCTGGAGCGCTCGCTGCTCGTCGCCTGGAATGCGGGCTCCGCGTCGCCGGGAACGTGGGCTCCGTGTCGCGGGGAACACGGGCTCCGCGTCGACTGGAAGGCGGGCTCCGATCCGCCTGAAATGCGGGATCCGCGTCGCAAGCAATGCGGGCTCAGCGTCGCGAGGAATGCGGGCTCAGCGTCGGGAGGAAAGCGGGCTCAGCGTCGCGAGGAATGCGGGCTCCGCGTCGCACAGAACGCGAGCAGCTAAATGCGACGAGCGGGTGCTGCTCGGCGCTTGGTGCAAGAGCCCTATCACGTCCGCTTTCTTCCCCCTGGCTAGTAACAACGACTCCAATACCCTACCGGTTTCTTGTTGTTCCTAGCTTCCCGTAGTCTCAAGTATGTCGTCACTTTTTTTTCTCGTAAGTGCGATCGCGCTTGCACGTTCCTACACTTTGCTGTTGCCAGCTCCTGCGATAGTCGGTAAGCTAGTAATCTGGGCACAGCATCGTCCCGAACACGATTCTGTTGTGGCGTTGAGTAGGTGGCGTTGAGTAGGTGGCGTTGATACCGAGCACTTGCGCTGCTCTGTTTTTCTACCCGTTAGCATCCAGCTGATTCAGTGGTGAGGTAAAAAGACTTCGAGTGAGCCACACTTTCCATGCTCCAAGAGAGGGATGTGTGCGACACATTTGTCGCTTTGGGTTGGTGGGATTCGCAGGTTTGGTGAGTGCGAAATGTTGACTAGTTTGCGGGGGATAGTTGTTCTCGCCAAAGGCAGCCAACCGAAATTGGTTTCGCGGATCTCGCATACAGCCTATTTCAAATCCACATAACTTGATATTTTACCATGCTGACCCCGGGCTTTAATGAACGGAAATAACAATTTAGCACGCCAGAACCATGGCAAGCCATGGCCCATGTCACAAGAATGAGCAATGAAGACTAAAAGGCATCAACATACTCAATACCACCTACTACTGCTGAGTTTCAAAATCAGATTGGAGGGTACCAGGGTTTCATTATGCCATGTATAGCGAGCGCAACGTACCATAACATTCAGTACAAACTCATACTGAAAAATTGCTGTACAGAGATGGAAGCAACAGGTCCCTAGAGGACCCCCAAGAGCATTTGTTCTGCTCTGCAAGCCTAGGAATCCCTAACAGAGGAACTCCAAGAGTGACACAACCCCATCCTGATGATGAAGTACAACGAGCAGCCCCCACCCAGACGTACACTAAAGCAGCATATGTTATACAACCGAAAACAAGGAGAAGAATCCATCACATGTCAATCACGGGTTTCAATTCACACATTGTAAGGAGGAACGTTGTCCTTGACTGCTGCCGGCGCTGCATCTGCAACGGCCTTGAGCACACCGCGCTTGTACATGCGGGTGGTGTAGTACCAGAACATTGCAATGTAGGTGAAGGCGGCGAAATACGCCATGGCGCATGCACCACGGACCTTGCCCAGGTCCGCATTAGCGTCATTAATGTATTGATTAATATAAGAGTCGTAGTCCAACGATCCAGGGAGTGTGGTGCTCAGTCCCAGCGAGGCGAGCATGGCCTTGGTTGCGCTGGTGCTGTAATCTCCAAGCACCATACTGCACAAGGGAAAGCGGGAGAAGGAAACGGAGACGCGATTTAATAAGAGTTATAGGTTGTCGCTAAAAATGTAGGTTAATAGGTTGTTCAATTGCGTATAGATGGTCGGAGGACATTCTTGTAGCCTGCTGTTTCATCTGTGCTTCTTTGCTTCTCTGTTTTTACGCCAAAGGGGAACGACGAACGTACTTGTTCAAGGCGCCGGTGTTCCACCAGGTGTTGCACGCAGCTGCTCCTGACGTGGCGGCGGCGAACAGCAGAAGCGACATGATCTGTCAAATAACGAGGGATTTTGGATAGAAATAATAAAAATCTTTTGTACACACAGTAATCGGTTTTGGAGAATGTTTCAGGCATTCGATTGGCCAGTGACTTGAGTCCAGCCTCTCGATTTTTTTAGGCTGTCCAGCTGGGACCGCGGGACGAGTATGCGCGCACCGCGGTTGCCTCACGTGAGTCTCAAAGGACCATTCGATGGACTCACGTAGGACTCGAAGAACTGCACGATGTCCACCATTTATTCGTATGATTCGATGGGCTGACATCACGTCAAGGATACGAACGATTCGCGTAGG